ACAAAAGAAAAAAACACACCAAGAAAGGCATGTACAGCAATTATCTTCCCAAGTATAAAGCATTCTAGTATTAGGAAATTCACAATCATGTGAGCATTCAACATTACAATAAAAGCAAGGATGAAATAAGGACCCTTATCCAACATTACAATAAAAGTAAGGATGAAAATACAAACAGAAAATTCCAAATAAAAGCAAGGATGAATAAAATAAAGTTTTAACTTCCTTATGATTATATTTACTTTTTTATTCATTGCTCATTTGTCAAACGATTTGTAAGCACCAGCTAGTTGGACCCATATTTTGACTCTTATTCGGCACCACAAGGCTTTCCCAACAAATGATGCTTCTTTCAAATTGCACCATATATCATTAGATTAAAACAGCATTATACAAGTATAAAAAGATCTGTAATTACAAGAATCCATCGGTCATAGGTAAAGCACATCAAACAAGTCATCGATCTTCTTTTCCAAAAGATGAGACTTGTAATTCAGTATACAAATATTGTCTCAATTAACATTTTAACTGCCATATACTTAAACCATATATTACAAAAGAATAACTTATATAGCACAAATTAACTAAAAAGGCAATGACATTAATCACAAGTAAATAAATATAAGGAACAGTCTACTTTCCACGCTCATCACAGCCATATCACATGTCAGGCATAATGGCTGTGATGAAATAAAAGCAAAATATAAGAACTAACAATATCAACTGCATATAAAGATAGAAATGAATTCTAACAGATTCCTTAAAAATTCTAAGAAAAGCATCTGGTCTTGCAAAATATAAGATTATTCTACCCCCGAGATTTTAAACCTTGGAAATAGTTTCTTGCACAACATTATAGAAGATTCGATTTGTGACATAGTAAAAGCTGTAAAAACTAAAGGTAAGGATCTTAAGTGTATCGTTGTAGATGCTTACATCTACCTGAAAAGCTTAATGAGGATTTTCCAAATTAAAAAAAATTTAACATCATCGAACAATATTAAGAAAATTCTTCATCTATTTAGATATTTTGGCATAAGCTTGAAAAAATCACCTTAGAAGCAAAAAATGGCAGCTCTGTGATGCTTGATTGTACAAATGAACACTCAACAATGTCAGGAACCCCATTAAGACCTTTCAAGCATGCATCTGCAAAGATAGCTCCTGCATATCTGCATCAAGATATTCATTAAGCAATGAACAACAAAATAGATGCTAACAAGACAAGTTATGTCGTGTCCAAAAATTACAGGCTTCAAGCACAAGAGTCGTAAAGATGTCCTGCTCATCCAATATTATTTCTAGTAATCTAAGAAACTATGCATTTACTATATTAGCAGCAAACAAATATGCTGCTGAAGCACATGCATTTCGAGGGAGAGAGAGAGAGAGAGAGAGAGAGAGAGAGAGAGAGAGAGAGAGAATTGGATTTTGTTTTCAACCATTTAAAGGATATTATTGCATGTATATGGATCATGGACCAAGAGAAGTCCAGTTCCTAATGGTCCTAATACCCACCACCTTAAACACCTCCATCAAATGATTTACTTTGAGAATGGGGCAACAAGTCACTAATATAGTGAGCCCTGAGCCCTGAATTCAAATTAATTAAATTTCTAAAAGAATCCCAGAAATGATGATACCTTTAATGAACTTATGACTTGCAAGATAACAGAGTAAAAGCACTAAAATTAAGAATATCTAAAACAACAAATTATATATATAATCAATCTCCTCTAGTGTCAAACATCACATTCATTTTTTGTACGAGACCTATCAATATCCATAATTCTAAAGAAAATTTTCCTTTAGTTTTTTTTATCCCTGAGATATATATAACCTTGGGATGCTTAGATGGCATTCATTAACACTATTGTGGATGATGACTCTTCTAGTAAAAAAAAGGATAATTTGACAAAGTTTTTTCTATAATATTAGAGAGCAGCATAACATGTATATCAGGTATGTATAATTAAGAACACCATATCATCTGACAACCATAAGGCCAATGTATCTATTCTCCCTATTTTGATAGTCCTAGGTCTTCCACATGCTCTCTCACTATATTGAAGTTGTTATCTGACAGATTTGACTGATTCACCTGCTGCTACCAGTAAATTTAGTAATGTTCTAGTTCCAGAATTATAGAAAAGAACAAAATTTTTAATTTTAAATGGATAAAGTGTTTTGTCTGCTTATGCATCATAAGAAACAGATGCCTGTCACCATTTAGTTACAAGATATTTGATGTCTCAACAGAACGATAATAAGAAACGAAGTTAAATGTACATGAAATATCTAACATGGCTATGCAGAACTTAATAGTAAATCTCCTCGGGAATTTAGATCAAACCAAAGATCTAATTGTTCAAAAATGCAAAAACAAGATAAATCTGTACAAATGTGGACTACATATCATATGGAAGAAGCAATAATAAATAAATAAATATCAAACCTAAATTTGACAGTGTTTCCAAGAAGCTAACACAATAATAAATAAATATCACATGGAATAGGCTAACATGTATTGATACATTAAAATAAAGAAGAGTCCGAACAATATAGTTGAAAAATATCCCACAGACTTACGCCATAGACAATGTTGCTGAGCCTTTTCCAGCCTTTGCCTCCACAACCTCCGTACCACCATCCTGGGTTCTCTTCGTGAGAGCCTTGATGTCCTCGGTGGCCAAATCATTACTAGCAGGAGTTGCCTGTCAACAAATTTGTTGTTAAGCATATATCTCTATTTGCTCAGACATATATAGAAGCACAAAAGATCCTAACATTCAAAAGAAAAGTTTAGAGGATCTCGAATCCACAGAAATTACCTGGGAAAACAGAGGCAAGATGGTTATGCCAGCATGCCCACCAACAACTGGAACATTAACGTCTGCAAGTAATAATTCACCGATCAATTGCAGACATTCTCTAAGCTAATAAAGAACAAAACAACTATTAGGGAAAAGAAGGCATTACCAGCTACCGGAACCTTCGCTTTCCCAGCGTAGAAAGTTTTGGCCCTGACAACATCGAGAGTAGTGACACCGAACAGCTTCTTCTCGTCATATGTTCCCGCTTTCTTGAACACCTCGGATGCAATTGGCACAGTTGAATTCACTGGGTTGCTTATCATATTAACAACAGCCTGATCCGATTAGGGGGAGAAAAAAACAACAGCAGAATCAGCTCCTCGGATGGACTAGAGAATTCCAATTAGTTGGGACGAAGGCGTGCACGGAATGGAATAGAGAGAGCAGAAAATTGTGTGGGTTGAAGCGACAGAAAGACATACGCTGGGGCAGTACTTCGCGATGGCTGTGCAGAGCGACTTGACGATGCCGGCATTGATGTTGAAGAGATCATCACGAGTCATGCCGGGTTTCCTTGGCACGCCGGCCGGGATGATCACCACATCGGAGCCCTCGAGAGCCTTACCGAGCTGCTCCTCGCCCACATAGCCGGCGACCTGGAGATCCATCAAGAAACAGACGGAAAACCCTTAGATCTGATCAGATCCACTCACGATAAACAGGATCGAAAGGGTGAGTAGACAAAAGGGGTAAGATCTAGAAGTAGTAGAGGATGCGGGAAGGAAGAGGAGACCTGGGCGCGGGTGTTGATGTGGCCGACGTCGGCGGCGACTCCGGGGGTGCCGGCGATATCGTAGAGGGCGAGGTTGGAGACGAGGGGGTTAAGCTTCATGAGAAGGGCAAGGGGCTGGCCAATCCCGCCGGCAGCGCCGAGGATGGCAACCTTGCGCTCGGGGGCGGAGTCGGAGGAGAAGAGACGGCGGTTAGATGAGGCGGCCCCGCGGCGCCGGAGGGCGGACTCGATGGATCTGACAACGAAGCTCCTCATCGCTCCAGAACAAGGGATCGGATGGGAAGGAAATCGTAAAAGAAATTGAAAACAGCCGTCGGCAATGAAATGGGACAGGGGGCCTTTTAAAGCTGAGCGACGGTTGGTTTCTGGAAGCTTCGGAGGCCTCGCTCGCTGCGAGTTCGCTTGCAGCGTGGAAAGATACAGTTTACAGCTGTTGAAGAACGAAGCGAGACCGACCGCATGCTACATCTTGTGCACAATGTAATATCTACATATCCTTAATTAACCTATATATATATATATATATATATATATATATATATATATATATATATATATATATATATATATAATGTAAAGGTGCTATTTCTTCTTCGACGTACATTTATTTTCAGTTCAGTCTAAATTACTGGGCATTGATCGACATGTAATTATTATGCGAATGCGGTCACAAGATGGAACCATTGAGAGTCCTCGACGTTTCTGTGAAGAAGCAGCTGACATGTCCGGCACAAATCCGCGGGTGGGTTGGCTCTGCCAACTCACGGTTGAGTCGTAAGTCCGAGGCCGGGAAAAGAGTCGGATTCTGATGCAATCATCGTAGTACGTAAGGCATGACGTCATTATTTTTTTTCTCTAAATTAAATATATATATATATATAGAGAGAGAGAGAGAGAGAGAGAGAAAAAGGTTGGGCTGGCTTCGAGTGCATCATGGACTTGCCGAGCCCCCTGTCATGTGGCATTTAATTAGTTGAATGATGAGTAAAGTAAGAGCCTCGTTCGGTTGAGTGTAAAAAGCTCACCGGTGATGTCAACGTTCGTATGCATTATCGAAGCAGAAGCACAGTTTTAAGCATCCATTATTACCGATTTGTATCGGTGGAGGAAGTCGCAGTCGAGGTGGGGAAACCAATGAACAAACCAGTAGTTGTGGCCAGGAAAAGCAAGCAGAGGTTTGAGGCCAGCATTAGTGGTCACGGCAAAGGGGACGAATAATTGTGATGGTGCAGAAACAACAGCTCAGATTAAAAGTCGAAGAATATTCCGTCCATGAGAAGGAGAATTGAAGTGCAAAAACCACTTGGAACGCAACCAGTTGCTGATGCATCCCAAAGTAACGAACATCCCAGGAGATGGCCAACTAGAATCGACGGCTGATATGCAACTCAAACACGAAATGGAATGCTACTTTCCAATTGCAACAGATAATTTATTTGGTTTTCCTTATTACGACATTGGGATATCAGCATAGTACTTGTCAGTCATGACTCTTATCGTTGTTTCATACAAATTTCTCTACTGTGGGTTAGGTGGGCGACTGTTGGCGGACGAGACCCTCGATCCCCATTCCAGTAGCTCCTTACTCGTATCATCTTTGTGCACGATTACCTCAAGGAAGCATAAGCTATCCTTCATTTCTCCTGTGGCTTTGGCGACGGCCTCTTCTAATTCTTCCTCGGTCCTCACCTACAATAATTAGTTTACCGCAGAATTTTCTTTGTCAACCTCACACCATAAACATGGTCAAAAAAACCTTAGTACCAAAGAGGCATAAAAACAGTCAACCATTTTGTCATCACAAACTCACCTTGCAAGTCCAACATTTGCCTTCCCCATTGTTAATGGCGTCGACAAATCCAGTGTAGTTCCAGTTCTTAATCACATTGTAAGGCCCATCATGGATCTCTACTTCAATGGTATATCCACCGTTATTGATGAGAAATATAATGCTTCGCTGCCCATGCCGGATCATTGTTGATACATCTTGAGCTGTAACCTATAGAATGAAGGAAATAATTAACCGGTGACTACTGAATGAGCAAATGGACCATATTTCCTCAAATCTTCTTTTGACCACATAGGAACAAATACTAGGTGGACTATAAGAGCCCAAATTGTAAATACCACTAACCCAGAAAGAAGAAAGACCCCACTCGTTAAAAAGACAATCCTAATGCAAAAGCAAGTTTAGCCATCAACTTTTTTGTTATCAAAAACCTTTTTTTCTCACATTGACCATGCAGGTAGTCACTCTCTCACTTTACCTGGAAACTTCCATCCCCTATGCAAGCAATAACACGCCTTTCCTTAGCAGCCTGAGCATATCCAAGAGTGGCACCAACTGACCATCCAATAGATCCATACTGCATTTGGAACTCATACCTGTGTAATTTGCCTTTTAGTCAAGCCATTTGGTGACTTATAATCGGGAGATATGACAATTAGCAACAACCTAACCATAAAACTCACTTACCCACAGTTCTCTGGCAAGCGAAGCTTTTGGCAATTGAACCATGAATCGCCAGTCTCTGCAATAACAGTTGTCTCTCCACTCAGCATATCCTGTTTGACAAGAAAGAAAAAGTAATGAGATCAATTGCACAAATGGAACAAGCAGTCCAATGTCAAACCTAGTAGGAGTTACAAGTTTCTTGAGAGCAAAGAGGGTAAAGAGAAAAGGTGCTTTTCAACCATGTTAAAGGAAAAAAATTGGATGAATAAAAAGTTAGTAGCAAGAGCAATGATTGAAGGCATGCCTGAATGTGCTTAAAAAGTATATTGACCCTTAAAGGTTCATCATTCTCTCGTTTGAGAGGCCTACTGGGTGGGACATAGATCCGGTGGTAGTTTTCCAAGGCAGTAGTGTTCTTCTTGAGCTTCCGAGATAGTGCAGTCAAGAAATCCGCCATGAAAACCCAACCAAAGGAAGGGCCGTTACCAATAGCAACTCGGTTGGGTTGTGCAAACACTGCTTTTTCTTTCTTAATCAGTAATGAGTAGCCCACGGAGCTATAATCATTAAATATCGGGCCAACAAAGATGTATGCATCAGCTGATTCCACAATCTCACCACAGTAGTTGGTGCTAACTGCACCCCAATAAGTACCAATGAAATGAGGATGGTGCTCGGGTACCATCCCTTTAGCTGACGGCATAATAGCTATTGGATACCCGCATGCATCTGCTAGCTCCATGAAGGCCTGATGGGCTTTTGCCACCCTCAGTTTTGGACCTGCAACTAAAACTGGCTTCACAGCCTTGTTCAAAAATTGTGCCGTTGCCTCCACAGCAGCCTCTAGTCCCAATTGATTGCTCACCCTGCAAAGGATACAAGTCTGTCATTTCCAAACACAAATACTAGAGATGCCCTTGAAGTTGCAGTTATTCTTTTTCTATCTCACCAAATAATGCATTACAAAGACCATATGTAGGATGTCACTCGGTGATCTTTAGAGATAGCATGAGCCCACTAAGTACACAAGATGTCACATGATCAACTTAATAGACATGACAGTACGTTCATCACTACCTATGATAACAAAACCATACGACAGACATTATAATCAAGTATCCAGACCATAACTGTTAGCTGCACGACATTGGCTATCCAATCTCCATTGTACCGACTTTACAAGTATGCATTTATTGTATAACAATAGTGCAAGAATTTTAAGTGAAAACAAAGATTTTGGATTTTCAAAGTGTCAATATATCAGTTCTACTCATAGGGCTCATTTATTGTTTTCCTACATAGATCATTTAAAATAATAGGAACAGTATTATGTAGTTAAATTGAGGTGACACTAGCGGACTGATAAAAAGAATTTAGTTCTGTTCTGACCCTACACAGTTTCCATCACTAGAATTCCACAACCAACGATTGACAGTTTCAGAATAAACATATAAAAAAACTTTACAAAAATTGAGAGAAGAAATTGATGAATCATTGCCCACATTTAGCATATTTAAAATGATATTAACAACATGCATAAAAGATTGACTTCCTATACATCTTAAGTTTCCAGTTTTTCACAATTAGTAAGTGATTAGATTCAGTAATATACAAGTAAAAAATAGATATTTCATTTTGATCTGATTCATGATCATTTCCTAATCTCAATAAACCTCCAAATCAGACACTGAGTGAACTTACAGGGGTCAAACAATTATATTCTTCAGCAATTTTACACAAAAAAAGGAAAACTTCTTTACTTTACAGAGTGGTACCTGCAATATATGTAAAATATCCAACTTAAACTATACTGCATAACTTCTGACCTATTTGATTTTACGAAAAGGAAAAACCACACAACAAAGATATGTTTTTCTCTACCTGTAACTGGAGATTCTTATTAGAATTATTAGCCATTGTACTTATGGAAGATTCTTAGGACATCAGCAATACCTTCATACTGTTGACTACATGTTCGTTTTCCAAAGTATATTGGTTATCAACAGATATTAATAATACAACTGACACTCAAATTCAAATAAAACCTGAATCTGAGTATGACTGGTTCTACCGATGACTAACTAAACCATTCTTAGCTATCAATAAACAAACATACATGCACAGAACAGAAACTTATTGCACAATTTGCAAAGAGCTCAAGACACTATATATCAACCATCTTAGTTTTCATTGCGACTCCATAAAAGGACTGAACTTATAGTACTCTTCTCATGGCGTAGTGTTGCGGTTGTATCAGGCATGCTTGTTTGCAGATTGATAATGAATCAAATGTGGGAATGAACCCAAGAAAGATGATCAACAGATCAAAAGTAAACAAAGAAAAAACTCAATGTCACTTACAACTACAAGGATTCCATATATAACCTTCTTAAAGGAATAATATTTGGTCCAACATCATCTGTATGCTTAAAATCGTAAAGAAGTGACAGTTGTTTCGCTTCGATCATACTGATTGAACGCAATAAAAATAAGACTGTTCCGCCACATAAATTAACATTTCTATATACACACAACAACTCAAATAACAGAGAGATCGAGCTAAAGAAGACCTACTTGGGCGTGAGAAAGTAAGGAATCGGCTCATTCACGAAGGTAGGGTGCGGTATCCCAGGCAAGTTGCAGCTGATGCTGATATACACTGGCTTGCTCTCCTTCAAAGCTGTCGAGATCGCGGTATCGATCATTTCGTGAGCATCATCCATATGGTTGACCACCGCCTAGAAAATACGAGCACATAAACAAGCAGTCCCATCAGTTCCAGGCATTTGCTTTATGAGATCTCAGCAACCAGAAGAAGCAGAAAGAACAACCTGGTGGCAAGTGACGGTCTGGAAGCAGCGGAGCTCCTGGGAGAAGTCGGGGAGCCCGATGGTGTGGTGGAGGATGCGGTTGGTGCCGTAGTCGTTGGAGTTGGGCCCGCCCACGATGCAGATGATGGGAAGGTTCTCGCTGTAGGATCCGGCGATGGCGTTGATGACGCTGAGGCCGCCGACGGTAAACGTGACGACGCAGGCGCCGACGCCGCTGGCGCGGGCGTAGCCGTCGGCGGCGTAGCCGGCGTTGAGCTCGTTGCAGCAGCCCACCAGGTTGAGCTGGGGCTCAGCTATGAGGTGGTCGAGCAGCGTGAGGTTGAAGTCGCCGGGGACGGCGAACACGTCCCGGACGCCGACCTGCACCAGCCGGCGGGCCAGGTGCCGTCCCAGTGTCCCGGGGCTCCGCCGCCCGGCTCGGCCGCGGTTGTCCAGTCCGTCCTGCATTTGCCGGTAGTTGCGGTGGGAGCAGAGAAGGTGTTTGCTTGTTTGTTTGTTAGAGGTGTCGCTCGCCGGTTGTGATGTGGGAGGGATGCGGGGAGTCGAGCGAGGTTCTTATTTACAAGCAAGTAGAGGAAGAGGAGGGCGAGGAGAAGAGCGGACGGGGTGGGAAATCAGTGGTCTCACAGCAGGAACACGGGATGGGGTACGGGAAAACTGGGGTCCGAAAGCAGGAACACGCACTGTGATACCGGAGAACCCAAACCAGGGGCAAACTATGTATGCATTTGGGGACTTTGGGAATATCCATCCGACGCGTCGTCTAGAAGCGAACTAATAAGCTTACAAACTACACAGCGTTAGGTGACAGATATACTTCAATTATACAGAAGCGATTATAAACTAGATTATCCACGAGCACGTGGGTGCGCACCTGACGAAGCCAACTGCAGGCAATAAAATAACAAGCCTGAGGAAAGAGAAATGCAAACCGGTCTTTGCTCGCGGAAGCAGGTAATTGTTAGCCGTCGGATGGAATAGTGTTACGACGTCTCCTCTGACTTCCAAGTGTTAATACTTTTCAACGACTTTCGCAGGCATCCGGCGGCGAACACATCAGCAGAATGCAGCTCTCCGGTTTCATTCATTTGCAGGTGGACGTTTGTGTTGTTTGGGAGCGAGCGAGCGAGCTGTGTACTATGTGCCACACCAACGCAAAGCTTGCAGGGCCATCTCAGCCAGCCGCTTCGTCCGCGATCGAATCGCCGCCGTCCTGATGTCTGTGGTCTGCGTGTACCAATAGCTGGGCGACTGGCGGTTCCTTTTGATTATCCCTAAAAACAGTTGGATGGGAGGACCTGTTGGCCAACATCTCGGATTCCTGCCCATGCAATTTTCTTTTTTTCTGGACTGCAGATTGGATTCTTGGTTATGATGATTGTGATGGTCGCCCGAGGTTTGTACAGGGAGGGTGGAATAGGGGTGGCCAAGCAACCTATGGGTGCGCGGCTGGAGAAGCCGGGTCAAAGACGGAAGTGACTTATTTACAAAGGGCACCGGCGACTTTTTATTTCCTACTTTTAATTTTTTATTTTTTTTTAAGATCATACCTTTTTACGTTATTTGACTCTTAAGAAAATACAAAAAAATATTTTATCATGTGAGTAAATACTTTTTTTTAGTGCTTTCAAATTTTTATTTTTTTTTTAAGGTCATACCTTTTTACGTTATTCGACTCTTAAGAAAATATAAAAAATCTTTCTACCACGTGAGTAAATGTATTTTCTCTTGACGAGGATGAAAGTCATGTTGACCTGATGATCGTTGATTATAATTTATTTTATAGGAAGTATGTAAATACATAGATTCGATTGAAATAGTTGTTCTCTTTTCATTTTTCTAGTACTATATATATATATATATATATCTTTGCAAATTAGATCTTTGTTTTTGCATCTAGGAACCAAATTGCATGGCAACACCACGGTTGAAACGTGCGATGATAATGAAATGAATATATTATTTAGTTTAATTATAATTAAAAATATAAAGCATTACAATCACTGGCATCTACTATAACCTTGTAATTGAATTATCGAATATTGGTCTTGTTTTTAAGGGGCAGCAATGGGTTTGGGGAAAGAAATCATACCATCCATATCATTGCTCCCTGAGGCTAAAAGCATCATATCGTTCTGCCTTGGCTTTGGCAAATAAAAGAGAGGCGCATCTTTTTGAGAGACGTTATACTCTTATATTAGTGATTCGCAACACAATGTGTCGATCAATTGGAATGGTCAAGTGAAAGTGACTTTGGACAATTATACACGAAAGACGAAAGCTATCGATCATGTAATTCTAATCCTCCGGAGGTGAATCTGATGGCACGGCCGAACGATGGATGCTCTTTACATATTCTTCTCTTCTATGAGAATACTAGCGATATCATCATGGCACCAAGGAGACACGTCTATCCCCTCTTCTGCCCTCTGCCCGTGAAACAGTTAATCCCAATACAGAATCCGTGGGTTCGGCTTCTTTTTTAATCTAAATAAATAACCTGAGAAGAAGAAGAAGAAGAAGAAGAAGAAGAATTTTGACATATAGCATGCATATGTAGTGGTTGTGTTTTGAGACGCAGGAGGAAACCCAAAAGCATCGATGAATCCAAGCAAAAAGGGCGAGTATCCGATGAATGATTATAAGAAACATCACATGGAAGACGAATCAACATCTGCAGCAAACACGGATCAATCCTCCTCCTCCTCCACCTCTCTCTGTGTATTATGAATCTTCTGAAGCACAACATCCGTCTTATGGAGGACCGAACTATCAAAGAATACTAGCAGGGGATCTGGGAAGTGAACCACCTCATGACATGGAGCGGCGCCTTGATGAGCTCGATGGCGAACTCCACCAGGATGGTCACGCACAGGCAGCAGGGGCAGATGCACGACAGCAGTAACCTGCAATTGCACTCCCACACGATTGAATAATAAGAAGAAGAAGAAAACAGGAGTCCCCTCGATTGGCTGTCACCACAGATCTGAAGAACTATATCCATCTAAAAGGCGAGGAAAGGAGCAGGGATGTTGACATACCCGACGATCCAGATGGCGGCGCCGACGATGGAGATGAGGAGGGAGAGAAAGGCGAAGGGGAGGCCCAGCAGCCAGCCCAGCGGCCGGCACTCGCAGTCGCACTCGCAGCACATCCTTCTTCTTCCTCTATTCGTTTCTTTCTCGTTCTCGTCGCCGCCGCAAAGTAGCCCTTCTCCCTCTGGTTCGCGTTTCGGGAATTGCCAAGCGGAGGAGGAGATGGTTTGCTTGCTTAAAGCAGACGAGATAGGTTAGGATGAGGAAGGAAGGCGGCGGGGTGAGTGGAGGATTGGGCCAGTCGCTCGCAGAGAGAGGCTTCTCTGGGAAGGTTGGGTTCGGTGGGGTGGCAAGTCAAAATTAAAAAAAGGATTCCAGAGCCGGTGAACTTGCGCGACGCGCGTGTAATTTATGACCCCCACTGTTTTGTCTTCTTTCGCTGCGGACGCAACTCGCTGCTCCACTCCGCAGACCCTTCCTTTATTGTCACGGTGGAATTGGTTGACGTGACGGGCCACCACGTGGTAGGTGGTCCATCTCGGCGACGGAAGATTCGCGTCACATACGATCCAATCGGTCGGCCCAGTTGCGGTCGCATGTCTCAACCCGTACCACGAAGCAGGGGGAGACGTATCGTCATTGGTTGACAACGTTGGTACGGCATCACTCGCGGAAAATTATCATACTCATTCCCTGGTTCGTGGCTCAGCTTGGACAAATGACTTGACGAGATCCATGACGAGGCGGCCTTGTCTGGAGTCCGGGACGGCGTGACTGGTATTTACGGTGCTCATGTCACGAGGCCGGCCCAATTTTCATTTGTGGCGAATGAATTATGAGAGAGAATATAAAAAATTCTGGGTATATATATATATATATATATATATATATATATATATATATGAAATGAATTCGACGATAGAAGTTGTTGAAGGATTTTGTCGTGCAGTGCCAGACGTTGCGATGGTTGAATTCGACGATAAAAACTTTTTTCGTACCACCACATCACATTTCAACGCTACAATCGATTATGTACTTGTTGAAGTAGAACCACATCACACTTCAACGCTACAACCAATTTATGTACTTGTTGAAGTCTATTTTGTATGTTGTATGGTGTATTTTAATTTTAGCTAAATCCCTGCAAGTCAATCGAATCAATAGAATGTTGGTATCCAAACAAAGGGAATAGGTCCCTTAAGCCTTGGCTGTTGTTATACATAGGCGGTGCAAACCAGGTGAGATTACCACAATTCAAATATAACACTTGTGAAGAAGAAATGTTTCATCCTAACTTTTATTATCCGACGGACATTACTAATCTTCGAGGCTTCCCCAATAATCAAGTAATAATTAATTTTTTTTAAAAAAATTATGGTTCGGGGTGATATCGATAGCATTTCTCAATAAATACTACAAGATAGTACCACAAGTTGAATATTATTTGGGAAGACGATATCCTCCGAGGTAAAACACAATTGAAGAAAAAAATTGAAGTCCCATATCTAGTGTGTATTAGAAGTCAAACAAAGAAATATGAGCGATGAACCAACTAAGTAACTTATAGCTCGCACCTAGTCGGGATGAAGTACATAGTCCGCAAGCAGTCTAGGAGCTTTGGGGTCATTACCAAGTCCTAATCATATGAGTTTCATTGACTCTAAATCTCGAAGGATATTCTGGTTTACTTGGATCTACTCTAGAGGAGAAGGCCGAAACTTCCTTCACCCATGAGCTATCTAAGGATGGAGCACCTATCCTCTCGGTCATTTGATAGCTATCATATCGTAAAGAATTTATGTGAGAAAGAAAATACATCCTAACGTATAGATGCAAAAAAAAAAGCTTCAAAACAGAGGTACTAGAGAGTCGGCACACATGGAGGTCGTAACCCAAGAGAACCAACTTGCCTTTAAGAGGATGATTGACCCGCCTTGTAGAGAAAGACCAAGGCTAAAAAGAGGAAGCTTCTAAGGGGATCACAGAGACCCAAATGAGAGAATGAGCCTCATATGTCATGACTAAGGGGGATTTATAAGGTGGGAACTAACCTCTCACCTCCCACATTAAAATCAAATGTCCTTTCAAGTTGAATTCGAAGAGATGCTAATTAATGATAGTATATTAGGAAGAGAGGTTATTAATGGTAGTAACACCTAACTCCCTAATTAATTATGATATTATGGTATATTAGAAAGGGAACGAAGTGAACCTCCCTCGAAAGTGAGGGCAATTCCAACCCTCTAAGGGATACCTCAAAAAACACAAATATGCTTGATGTGTGTTAGATAACCCATTAAAAATGTAGCCAAAGTGCGTGAGTCCGGAAACTTAACTCATGAGAAGAAATTCATCATGAAATGAGGCACAAATGAAAATGTGCCAAGATTCATACGTTGAAAAAACTCGACTCTTATGAGAAGAAACTCATTATAACGAGAGGCACAAATAAAAATGTGCCCAAAGTACATAAGTTAAAAAAATCCAACTCTCATAAGAAGAAATCTATTATAACAGGAGTACAAATGAAAATGTGTATTAGCTTAAAAAACTTGACCCTTATGAGAAGAAACTTGCATGGCATGATACATAAATGAAAATATGCTTGAGATGTGTTAGTAGAAAAAACCTAACCCCCATGAGAAGAAAATCGTCATAGCATGAGACACAATGGAAAAAGTGCTCGAGGTAGGGAGGTTGGGTGTCGACCCTTTCTCAC